TTCTTTTTGATCAAACTGGCTAGTGGTTGTTTATCAATTTTGTTAATTCTTTCAAAGAACCATCTTCTGGTTTCATTGATCTCTTCCACTGTTTTGGGGGTTTTGATAGCATTAATTTCTGCTCTAATCTTTATTATTTCCTGTCTCCTGCTGGTTTTGGGTTTATTTGCTGTTCTTTTTCCAGCTCCTTAAGGCATAAAGTTAGGTTGTGAATCTGAGATCTTTCTTCTTTCTTTGGGAAGGCCTGGATTGATATATACTTTCCTCTTATGACCACCTTTGCCACATATCAGAGGTTTTGGGTTGTGGTGTTATCATTTTCATTGACTTCCATATATTTTTAAATTTCCTCTTTAACTTCTTGGTTAGCCCATTCATTCTTTAGTAGGATGTTCTTCAGTCTCCAAATATTTGTTACCTTTCCAAATGTTTTCTTGTGGTTCATTTTGAGTTGCATAGCATTCTGGTCTGAAAATATGCACGGTTTGATCTCAATCTTTTTGAACTTACTTAGGGCTGATTAGTGCCCCAGTATATGATCTATTCTGGAGAACGTTCCATGTGCACTGGAGAAAAATTTATGTTCTGCTGCTTTAGGATGAAATGTTCTGAATATATCTTTTAAGTCCATCTGGCCCAGTGTGTCATTCAAAGCCCTTGTTTTCTTGCTGATTTTTTTATTAGATGATCTGTCCATTGCTGTGAGTGGGGTGTTGAAGTCTCCTACTATTATGGTATTACTATCGATGAGTTTCTTTATGTTTGTGATTACTTGATTTATATATGTGGGTGCTGCCACATTTGGCGCATAAATGTTTACAATGGTTAGGTCTTCTTGGTGGATAGACCCCTTGATTATGATATAATGTCCCTCTGCATCTCTTGATACAGTTTTTATTTTAAAGTCTAGGTTGTCTGATATAAGTATGGCTACTCCGGCTTTCTTTTGTTGACCATTAGTATGATAGATTGTTCTCCATCCCCTTATTTTCAATTTGTAGGTGTCTTTAGGTCTAAAGTGGGTCTCTTGTAAACAGCATATAGATGGGTCTTGTTTTCTTATCCATTCTGTTACCCTATGTCTCTTGATTGGAGAATTGAGTCCATTGACATTTAGAGTGAGTACTGAAAGATATGAATTTATTGCCATCATGATGCTTGTAGAGTTGGAGTTTCTGGTGTTGTTCTGTGGTCCTTTCTAATATATTTTTGCTTTTGGTATATATATATATATATATATATATATATATATATTCATCTTTTCTCCCCTCAGAGAGTTCCCCCTTAAAATTTCTTGCAGGGCTGGTTCAACCACCACTGTACTTTCTACTTACATTTACTGTGTGGACAAACACAGTACATGATCAAAAACAAAAACAAAAACAAAAACAAAACAAAAATAGGGAACTGTGCCATTTGATTGTGAATTTTATCAAGACCGGAGACTAATCTGACCTTCTCTTCTACATCAATAATTAGAGAACCAAAATAAATTTGAATAAAGACATACAAAATGACATGAATAAAGAATGGTGTTGAGATGTGAAAATTTTATGCAAGAAGTGGTTAACAATTACACATACGGTACACCTGGGTGGCTCAGTTGGTTAAGCATCCTATTTCTACTTAGGTTATGATCTCATGGCTCCTGATTTTGAGCCCTGTTTCAGGCTCTGTGCTGACAGCTCATTGTCTGGAGCCTGCTTTGAATTCTGTACCTCCCTCTCTCTTTGCCTCTCCCCCGTTCACACTCTCTTTCAAAATAAACATTAAACAAAAATTTTATAAAGGGGCGCTTGGATGGCTCAATTGGTTAAGTATCTGACCTCAGCTCAGAGCATGATTTTGAGGGGCCCAAGTTTAAGCTCCACATCATAGTGCTTGCTCAGTCTCTTTCCCTCAAAAATAAAAACGCATTTAAAAATTATTTAAGAAATAAAAAAAACAATTACACATGCAAGATGTATACTCATATAGATATAATTCAAATGAGTTCAATATTTAAAACAAAAATTCATGTAAGACAGACACTAAGACATTTAAAATTACATTAGGTGACAATAAAACCATCATAGTCATAAAGTAGTTTGTATATATGGCAAACAAAACACTCTTTACAAGTGCTAAATAGCTTTATTAGAAAGTTTGAGTAATTCAGGAGATAAAGTGGAAGCATTTTTGATGAGGAAAAGGAGGATGCCAGAGAAACACATGCCAGAGTAATTAATTCAAAAGGCACATTTTAAGGCTTAAAAAACCATAAAATATATGAAAGTAGAAATCTTACATGTCAAATTTCTGGGCTCTGTGAAATGACAATAGAAACTATCAATTTAAGGAAAATCAACAAGTAGCATCTCACTAAATAAATATCTCAAATAACATCTTTTGCATAACTACCAGGTAGAAAATCCAAATCGAAATTACTTCTACAACAACTTGTATATACTAATAAAGCATATTAAGTGAAGCAAAAGGATTTGAATACACAAAGTAGTTCTACCAAGAGTAACATAATGTTATAGAAAAATAGTAATGCATTGTGATACACAGACACACTCCATTAATAGTGACTGATTACCCAATCAGAAATTTGTGCAAAACACAAAAATACTTACAAGTATTATTAAATTAATTATGTTGTAAAAATTATATTGTGATACAGTTACTTAAAATATGGCAGAAATTGCCCATATGTATAAAAAAGAAATATTTAGACGATGTTGTCTGTCAAAAAGTGTGTATATGAAATATTTTCCTCATGTGTACTTGTGAATATCTGCAGTGTTAGTAAAATAATAATAATAATAATAATAAATGTGTTCCAAATTCCTTTAGTGCAGATAACTAAAAGTACTCAAAATTTAAAAGAACCCTTAAAATATCCAACAAAGCTAATAAAATATAAGAACATTCCAGGACCTGAAGTGAGTCCATAGCAGGATGTAAAAGAGTAATCAAACTAAGAACCCACTTCTCCATCCAGATCCTGGTTGACCACAAGACAATAGATTGAACCTGTGTCGATTTTCCAATCTGCTCTGAGAGTGAGTGGAACAAACAGAGAGAGTGGAGAAATCCAAAATGTGATATGTACAAAATTTGTAACCAAATTAGAAAGGGTGAGACACACAGATAAATAAGCTAATGAATAAAGGGTCACACAATACAGATATAATCAATATATTCAAAATATTTTTAAAAATAAGTTTATTTATTTTGAGAGAGAGAGAGAGAGTGCACAGAAGCGGGGAGGAGCAGAGAAAAGGGGAGACAGAATCCTAAGCAGGCTCCATGCTGTCAGCACAGAGCCTGATGCGGGCCCAAATCCATGAGCTGTGAGATCATGACCTGATCCAAGATCAAGAGTCAGAGGCCCAACCAACTGTGCCACCCAGGTGCCCCTGTTCAAAATATTTCAATAAATACAATGGAAAAATAGGAAATCAAAATACATGGAAAGAGAAGCTATACTCTGGTGAAGAATATTGGTAAAAGAGCTTATATAATTAGGCTAAAATAAGTTAATTTAGAAAACAAAATTGTAATTAAACATTAAATGAGTCCAAGTTGATGAAAGAAATAGTAAACTAGAATATCGAGCAGAAATATCACAGCCAAGGGCATTAAAGACTGGACATTCATGTAAAATACAGTAGTCACTACAGATAAATAAAGATCAGGATAAGAAGAAAAATCATTTAATTGTTGCACTAGAGTATACAATAACAATAGTATAAAATACAAGAATGATTAATAAGTTTCTAATTTAAAAACTAGACAAAGATGTTCAAATCAGAAATGAACTGTAACAAAATAGATAAATAATGAAATGCCAAAGAAAAGGAATATCCATAGGGTATACTAATTGAAAGGGATACATGCCCTCAGATATTTACAGCAGCATTATCTACAGTAGCTAAATTCTGGACACTGTCCAAAATCTATAGACTGATGAATGGATAAAGAAGATGTGGTGTGTATACACACACACACACACACACGCACACACACACACACACAATGGAATATAACTCTGCCATTAAAAATGAATGAAATCTTGTCATTTGCAACAATAGCAATGGAGCTAGAGCATATTATGCTAAATGAAATAAGTCCGTGAGAGAAAGGCAAATACCATCGGATTTTACTCATATGTGGAAGTTATGAAATAAGACAAACAAGTAAAGGCGAAAAAAGAGAGGCAAACCAAGAAAGAGACTCTTAACTATAGAAAACACATGGCTACTAGAAGGAAGGTGGGTGAGGGGATGGGTTAAATCTGTGATAAGGATTAAGGAATGCACCTGTTGTGATGCATACCAGGTGTTGTATGGGAATGTTGAATCGCTATATTGTACACCTGAAAATAATAGTTCATTGTATTTAATTACCTGGAATTCAAATGAAAACCTTGAAAAAGAAAAGGAAAAAAAAAATAAAAGCATTTAGAGAAAGAGAAACACATTTGAAAGTAGTGAAAGGTAAAATAGAGAAAACATACAAATGTGGGAGCAAAAATCTTTGTAGCCTTAAAAGAAGCCAGAACATAAGAGAAATAAATGTAAATTGTGCAGAGAGAAAATGTCATTTTATCTAAAATTGTATACATAACTAAATATCTTGAAATTAAAATTGAAATTAATATAAAAATATTATGCTATCTATAAGGAATACCAACATTGTACTAAAGTACAATAGTGCTGTATTAGAGTATAACTTCCTTGTATAGAGAGAAAATTTTCCTTAAGGGAGATGAGAAATAAAATGCAAAATGAATGACCTTGTAAACATGGGACTACCAAATCTTCCTGAATACTAAACTACTGACACTGGAATGTCCTTGGCATCATAAGTTTCAAATACATTTAGATAAATTAGGATATGATGTTAAATTATACTTAAATTAAAATTGAATTTTAAATGTTACATAAATACTCTGCTGTTTGAATAAAAGCAAAATAATCAGTTTTGGAGGCAACTATTTCATGAATATGTAGTTATACATTGGTTGAAATTTTTCCACACTTTTGAAGCACATTTTTATCCTTTTACCAGGACAAATTACCACCAATGCATTGACAGTGGCATACACATTGGACACAAGCTTCTGAAAATCCAGGATGACTGGATAATATCCCCGTAACAAACATGAAGAGAATGAGATGATGACGTCCACTCAGTATATGACCACAGAGAAACTCACCAACAGGACAGTCTGGGTGGCCCTTCTCTCTGTGGAGACTCTTGAGGAGGGGCTGGTACTGTGAAGATGCTGGTACTGCCTCTGATGAATGGGCAAGAGAATCGCCATGTATTCACTTGACAACAGCATGACTCCTATAAAGAAAACATCCCTGGGTAATGTCAAAATGAGGAGTCCCCTGTTGATAGAGCTTATGGAGGAAAGTGAGCCATATTTACTGACATGCAGTAGATATCTCTGGGTCACAGTAGAAGCAGCAGCAGTATAGAAGATGCAGTTACTATCAAGAGACAAACAGAACTCCTAGGATATAAAAAAAAAAAATGGAAGATGTACTGTATGTACTTATGTTTAAACCCTGCCAACCAGGAGGTGCTGGGGCTGCTGCTGATGTCCTGGAGGATGCTGTAGTGCTCATGGAGAGACCGCACAATACAGGCCTGTGCTCACTTCGGCAGCACATATACCACACAATACAGGCCACAAAACTCAATCTCACAGCTTACATCATGCTCAGTGGTGGAAAAACTAAAGCTTTTCCTTATATAATTTAAATAAGGAAAACAATGTCCATTCTCATGCCTCCTATTCAGTATTATATTGTAATTGCTAGCCAAAGTAATTGGATTAAAAAAAAATAAGGGCATCCAAGTCTGAAAGGAAACAGTAAATATATATTTGTTTGCAGATGGCTTAATTCTAAATATATGTACATAAAACAACCACAGTTAGAACAAAAACAAATTTAGTAAAGTTCTAGACTAAGATCAACACATAAAAAGTCTTTATGCTACCTAAGAACCCTAAAACAAAAAGATTAGTAAAACTAGACAGGACGAGGCAGGTAAATTTGTGAGTTGTGTGGGGTAGTGTTCCCCATCAAGGGGAGAATTAGGCAAAGGCCAGGAATGGAAACCATATGGACTGAATAATGACCTAATGCACCGGAGGATACGGGTCAACAGGGGAGAGTTGTAGGATGCAGTAGGAGAGGCAAATGGGAGTCCCACCAGGTAGGACCTTATAAATATGGTATAAGGTATTTGAACTGCACTACAAAGATAACGGTGCCTCTGGAAACAGGTCCTCTGGGAGCTGTGAATTCATGCCCACTCCCATATGTCCAGGAATTGGTTATCTCCATAGGGATTCAATGCATGGTTCACCCAACAATGGAGAAGGAGCACACTGTGTCCTGGGAAATACACTGTCCTGTTCACTGGGACAGTGCTTTGTGGCACAGGCACTTAATACAGTTTAAAGAAAGAACCTGGATGGATAGCTCCTGTTCAACTACAACTCTATACTACATAGTACTAAATTGGCTTTGTTTCTTTAAATGTGGCCTGCCCTAAAGAACAATGCATCTGTTAGGGCAAAATACCTACTCTGCATGGACTAGATTGAGGAGTTCAGTCCCTGTGCCCTCGGAGGTCACATTCTGGGGGTGGGGGAACTATAGATAGAAGAAGCAATCACATTTACTGTAGCATCCTGATGCCACCAGTGTGTGTGCACAGGAGAGGGGCAGGGTGGTCTGGGATATAGGCTAGATTGGGGGGGGGGGGCGGCGCTCTCTGTGAGGATCCTAACGGAGGTCGCCAGGGGATGAAGAAGATGGAGGCAACAGAGAGCACATGCTCTCAGGTCATGCACTCATACAAAGAAGAGCATATGAGCAGATGGAAAGAAGTTCTTGTTTTAGTTTCCTTGATGTCTTCTCATTTTTATTTTTTCCTTCCTTCTGCTTAGCTTGGGTTTATTTTGTTTTTCCTTTTTCTAGTTTGTTGTAGTACAACTTTAGCTCATTGACATAGACAGTTACAAAACAATCCTACCAATAACTACAAAATTTATATTGTTTTCTAGTGCCTGCAGAACATATAGGAAGTTAGGCTGTATCTTGGGTCATAAAACAAACCTCAACAAATTTGAAAGAATTAAAATCGTACAGATTATATAGTTCAACCACAATAAAATCATACTAAGGAATGAAAGAAAAAATATAAGAAAACCCCTAAACAATTAAAAGATAAAATAAAACTCTATATAATCCATTGGTGGAAGAAGAAGTCTCCATTGAAAGTAAAACAATTAAATTATAATAATATATGGCATACTAAAATTTGTGGGGCACAGTTAAAGTTGCCCTGAGAGAGTGTTAATGCAAGGATTAAGTGCTTACATTGAGGAAGAAAAGCCTCAAAGCAATAATCAAAATTCACATAGTGAGAAACATAAAACAGAAGGGCAAAATTAGCCCAAAATAAGTAAAAAATAATATTAATAATAAAAATTAGAGCAGAAATTAATGAAATTGGTTGAAAAAAAGAGGGAACTCAGTGAAAGAGTGATCCGTAAAGTTAACCAAACTCTGGCAAACGGATGAAAAAAGAAAACACAAATTCTCAGGATCAGGAATGAACTAGTGGTATGAATTCAGACTCTGCACATACCAAAAGATTAATAAGGCAATACTGTACCTACACAAATAGGACATCTGAGAAGAAAGGACCAAGATTGCAAAAAGCACATACTACTCCATGCCCTCCGTTGAAATAGGTATTTGGGATACTCCTATAACTATGAAATAAATCAGATTTGTAATTTTAATACTCTACAAATGTTACATCCAGATGTAGATTATTTAAATGGAAAATTCTTCCAAGCATTTTAACAAAATTGACCTCTGTTTTGCATATTTTCCAGCAAATAGAAAGAAAACAAGGAAGTACACTTCTTTTTTTTTTTTTTTATGAAGCTGGCATTACCTTGAATCTAAACATGAAAAAGAATATCAATAAAAAAATACAGGCTAACATCTTTCATGAATACACCTCCCAAATTCCACACAAAACATTATCAAATAGAATTCATTCCTACAGAAAAAGATCCATACACCATGCCCACATGGAGATTATTTCAGAAATGTGAGACAATTACAATACTTAAAAATCAATTAAAAAAATAACCCATCCTATCCCCAGGCTACTAAAGAATAACCACATGATCACGTCAGGTGATGCAGAAAAGCAATTCACAAAATTCAATACACATTCACCAAAAAAACCTCAGAAAACAGAAAAATAGAAGGAATTCCTCAACTTCATGAAATATCTCTATAAAAAAGCTCTACCCACATTATACACAATAGTGAAAAACTGATGTTTTCTTCCTAAAGATCAGAAACAAGTCAAGGTCATGTTCTCCCACCATTCTTATTCAATGCGGTGCTAAAATTCTAGACTAGCAATAAAGCAAAGAAAGGTGTGAAGGAGGTATGTAGACTGGAAAGAGAAAAATAAAATTGTCCATACATTAGTATAGCATGTTTGCATACGTAGGAAATTCCAGCAATTATCTATCTAGAAAGTTCTAGTGAACCACAACAAAACAGAAACTGCTTTAGATCTAACATGTGAATTCAGGAAGCTGTCAGGATACAGGACAAACATAGAAGAATACCTTTATTTCTATTCACTAGCAATGAAAACATTGCAGATGAAATTTTAATACACAATTTGTCATCATTACAACACTAAGATCAAAGACTAAAAACCATGCACAAGACTTGTATGCTGAAATCTATACAGCACTGATGAAAGAAATCAAACATCTAAATAAATGAGAGACATATCATGCTCACAGGTAAAAAGATACAACATAGTAAAAATGTCATCTCTCCATATTGATAGATAGGTTTCACACATTTCCTGTGGAAAGCCAAGTAATATTTATTTTATAGACACAGCTTCATTTTCTAGAAATGAAAAATGAAATGGAATGGAATGGAAATGAAAAGGAATTAGGAGAGGTCAAACAGCTTTGAAAAGGAATAAAATTGGAGAAATTAATATGCTCCATCTGAAGATGTGGTGTTGGTGGAGACAAAGACACAGATTCAATAGGGAAGAGGGGACAAAGAAATAGAACTATGACAATATGAATCACTGATTTTTGGCAAAGGTAAATAATGCACTTTGTGAGGAGAGTCTTGTCAGCAACAGGTGTTAAAGCCATTAGACATGCATTGGCAAAGAAACAAAAACAAAAGAAACAAAAATACCTTGATCTAAACTTCACTTCTTATACAAATGTGAACTCAAATTATCACAGCATAGATTCAAAACAAAACATAAAGCTATAAAACTTTTACAGTGGAGGCACAGGAGAAGATCTTTAAGACCTAGGGATTGGTGTGTTCTTAACCCAAGCACTAAAAATGAAAACACTTGATAAACAGAACTTTACCAAAATTGAAAACATTTATTCTAGTAAGAGCATTTGCTCCTACAAGGAGCATGAAAAGACAAGCTATAGACTAGGTAAAAATATTTGCAAACCACATATCTGATAAAACAAACAAACAAACAAGCAAAAAAACTTCTCACTAGAATATTTAAGGAACATTCAACACTCAAAAGGAAAAAAAAAAACTACTCAAAGAGAAAATGGGCAAAACAAATGAACAGACATTACATCAAAGAGAACATGTAGGTGGCAAATAAGCACATGAAAAAAACAAAAAAAAAAGCAACATCACAGCCATGAGGGAAATGTAAATGAAAATGCCACCTGTTAGAAGAGCTGGAAAAAAAAAAAAAAAAACAGTACGAACATGAAATGTTGGAAAGAAGCAGCTCTCTCAAACATCATTGGTGGGAATATAAATGAAATGGCACAGCCACTCTGGTAAGAGAGTTTGATACGTTGAATACAAGCTATTTTTAAACTTTAAAACACAGCAATCAGTCTCCTGGACTGATTGAGATACCATAAAACACTGTGCACAGATGTTCACTGAAGGTTTATTTGTAATAGCCAAAAGAGTAGAAAACAAACAAAATATCCCTCAAAAGGTGACTGGATGAACAAACTGTGACATATCCACACTAGGGAATCCTACTCAGTGATAATGAGGCCATAAAGCTGAAGCTGTGATACACAAAACTTGGATGGATCTGTAGGGTATTACCCTGAGTGGAAACAAACAAACAACATCACAGGTCATGGCTGTAGGATTCCTTTCATGAAACAAAAAAGACAAAACTCCCCAAATGTAAAATAAATGGTTAATTGTCATGGCCAGCGATGTTGGGGGAGGGTGAGTAGCATGAGGGGGATCTTTTGGATGATGGAGCTGTTCCACACATGGATTGTGCTGTTGGATATGTGAATGTACATGACAAACTGACAGAGCCAGACATGCCCATTGTGCCACTGTCAGTTTCCTGATGTTAATATTGTCCTGCAGTGATGTAAGATGTTACACTGGGGCAAAATGAATAGATGCTGCCTTTGTG